TGTGTGTGTGTGTGCGTGTATGGATTCGTGTATGTGTGTATGTATGTACGTGTATGTGTGTATCCGTTTGTACATCTGTCGTGTTTGTGCTTCTATTTGATACGCATCTGTTTAGTTTTGTAAATATTTGTAGTTTTGGATATGCTGGCTTAGCTTTTTCTACTTTTTAATAAACTTACTTTTTCTTATGTTCTTGTTTCACTGCTGCCGAGCAGTTCACGATGCTCCGAATACTTCTTACGTTTGATTTTCAATGAAAATGTTTCAAAGAATGAATTGGAAAGCTAAGCTATGAGGCCTCATCTCAGAAATTTCGCTAAAAACTCGGCGAGTTTTATTTTTTAGTGCGGAATAGTACAAGAGTTTCACCCAGCTCCTTCAAAAGCATCACAAGTTTTCGAAAGTTTTTGTTGTAGTGTTGAGAGATGCGCGTGAGAGCTTATACAACAGAGCTGGATCTCTTGATTTGTTTGCACAACGGTTTTGGGGACAGGGGGGAGGAAGTTGAATTTTCCTCAAAAAGAAAATTTCTGGGGAGGTTTTTTGGAGAGCATTTTCACGCATTATGCTTCTCTCGATTTACATAAAACTTTTTTGTCGGCTTTGTTTTAAAGTGACGTACTGCTTGCTGTGTTTCGCCCGTAAATGTTAGATGAAAAGTTTCGTTGCCAGTGATTTCTGACGCGAGTAACACAGCAAGTTGTTAAAGTTGTCAAATTGGTATTTCTTCTCTTTGATACAATTTATTGTTCTGCTTTAAATTCTGTTATCTTATAGGGCAAGTGTGCTGAAGATGACGGTGGATTCGTTGTCCATGGATCGGTATGTTGGACCGGTAAGTTAATTCATCTCCCTTTTCTCATAACTTTAAATTGCTTCTTTTCAGAAATTTTAATTTTCGTTGTCGTTTTTGAATTTTTCGAGGAGGCGGCGGTTGAAGATGATTCTTCTTTCAGATAAGGTAACTTGCATTCATAGTTTTATCACTATTTTAGGTGAATCCTTCACTATATCCACAACTTGCTGTATTGCTGCTTGCTATTGGCTTGTTCTTCATGGCATGGTTCTTCGTGTATGAGGTTCTTTTTTTAAGCATGCATCTGTATCATTGGTGTGTACCAGAAAATGGTTAAGGAAGGAGCAGGGGGAAGGACGGGGGGGGGGGGGGGGGGGGGGGGGGGGGGGGG